TCAAAAATAGATCCTGCTTCTGTATGAGCTTAATACTGCACCATTGAAGGTTACTGAGATACCACAACTTAACTCACACTTCAGGGGCAAAGGGACAGTGGAACACTGTTCAAGGTAATTTGAGGACATTTGATCAATGTTGACAGCATCACTAGCATATGAAAAGAGTTATGTATGGTGGTGATTCTTAATGCCTAGGCATACTGTAGGCTACCAGGCTACAAACATTAGAGAAGAGCTGATCATCCCTCATTCAGCCTGGAGAATGATGCAGGCTATGTGCAGAGTTTGTTTTCACATTCATCTGCTGAAGCCTTAAGTCTTTAAAAAACATAAAAAATTTAATATTTGCATTGATTCCTTAAGTGTGCATACACTGAGACTTTTTCTTGTGTCCAAAACATTTGCATTTTCAGAGATTCAGGATTTTTGAATCACTGTTTGCCTGCTGATCCTCATTTCCAAAAAAGATGAGAAGAACTCCTGTTGTAGGGTATTGTGTCAACACTATTGGATCTGGGTGTTTTAGATACTCCCTGTTGTCAATCCAGTTGTAAGAACAAACTGTATACAGTATGGTGGTAACTGGATTTAAAAATGAATTGATAACACAACAAACCTTATCCTATCTGCTTGATACTTCCATAGCATCTGGTCAGGAATATGGGGTTTCTACATTGGAATAACTCGATCAGTGTTAATGTTCTGCACCTAAGCTCCCAATTAACACAGTGTCTAATGGTTTTTATCACTACAAGCTTACACACTGACATTATAAAATTGCAGTGACCTTAACTATTATTTCTGTGAAAAATAGATGAAAACTACTGTTACTACTATTACTCATTTCCACTTCCACGACAAGAGAGGAGAACCTTGCACTCAGACTGCTGGATTTCAATACAACCTCTCATCCGCCTCCACCACCTCTCACTGCAGGTTTGAAAGAGTGGAGGCAAGTAGCTTTTGTGTCCACTAGTATCTCCTAAACTGCTCATATTATCAGGACAGGCATTGATCTGATCTATAAAAATATGCTTAAATATTTTCCACTCAGAGACTACACATCACCTCCATTCTCTGATTATAAAAAACTTTTTTATTTAAAGCAGAGAATGACACTTTTTATTGTGAATGCTCATGCCTCATTGACAGAACAAACTTACTGCTAGATAGTCCTTACTACTAACCTTAGATGATAATATTGTTTTGTGTTCTTCACACAAACAACAACACAGATTATGATAACTACGAGACAAGGATTTTCCCACAACTGTTGTAAGGTCAGGTCAATGCATTATTCAAAATTAACTGTATGGTAGAAACTACAGGAGTTTGAAAGACTGCATGAAGTGTGTGGATCATCTTGTTAACATTCAAGTGTTACAATAAGGATGGATGAGCTTCAAACATTATTTTCACAGTCAAGAGGCAAAATACAGATTTTTTTATAAGTATTATGTTGTTTTTTTTAGCAAAAAGGACCAGTGTAGAGTAACTGGGGATTCTGATAACTGAAAGGTGCTTTAATTTGTTATATCCAACCAAAACACCCCAGTTGCTCTGGGGTTTCCTTTGTCTGCAAAGGAAGCCATCTTGGTTTGCTGGACCTTTGACTTCACCTTTTGACATTTACTGTTTCACAACAGGGATCATCTTTAATGTCATAACTAGAATAATGATTACCATGAATCCAATCCAGCAAGACCTTTGAATGTAGAGTATTTATTGATCACAGGTTTGATTATGTTCCACACACTTATTTATGGTGATGTACTAAGTGATGCCATAACCAGCCGTAAGAACTTGCAATACATTATGTTTACATGTACATAAAAGTGTGGTGTTAAACTCACTCTGCTGTTCTACAACCAGAATAGGACACTCTTTACTAAAGGTATTAAAAAGGTAAATAATGATTTTATTGAACTGAACATAATGATAAGGATTATTACTGCCCACTTAATTTTATATCTAATATGTAGTCTAATTATGTTGATTCTTGGTTTCATAGTCATCCCTCACTAACTTCCACTAATCTTTTAGCGCACACATCGTCATTATCTGTCAACTGATAAAAACAAAGACTTTAATATCCCCTCTGTTTTTGTAATTGCACAAAAAAATCTCCACTTATGTCACCGTGAATTAATTTTAGTCCAGGGGGCACTCGATATTCCTTTGCACTTGATACCTAATCTAACATGATAAAAAATGCTGTATTATACCCAAAACACATTAATTCTGAAAAATTAGTGAGAAAAAAGGGTTATTTCCTTTAAAGTCAGTGAAAACATGCTCGTATTAACAAAACCAATGTTTCCAAATCCTTATTATCTTTAGTGCATTATCTACCAGTACATGCAAATGGATTCTAAATGAATTATATTATTATTAAATAGGGTATTTTGAGGACGCTATGTCTACACAGTCTAGGTGTATCATTATAATAAAGGTCCATTAGAGTGAGATATGATCTAATGTATAGTAGAAACCATCACACTAGGTAACCTCTTTTATTCTTGCAGAAGTCAAGGACACCATCTGGCTGCACTCCGCATGACACATGAGATGTCAGATGTCAGACTGGTGTGGTAAACCACATTATCATCCAACATCTGCCTCCCCAGTGAACATACCTACGTGCATAGATGGGTGGATATTCTCTGCTTGCACCAGTAATCAAGCTGTAAGTTAAATGCTTTAAATGATATTAGAAGGGGATTGTATTATACATACATTATGTAATGTAAATTAATGGAAAGCCAAGAACCATGTAAAGAAAACATATACATATGGTATATGTATAGGATATATATTGTAATCACAGGGTTATAACACTGCGGTGTATTCTGCTGCGTGGGATACACGTGTGAATGGGAACCACCTCCACCCCAAGCTACAACTGTAAACAAGATCCTAGCAAATATCTTGCTTATGCTTCCAAGAAAGATTAAGGAGAGGCCTTGCATGTCAATTTGTATACCATGGTGGGCTGTGATATTTTAAAAGTTACTAAACATTGACCATATTCATAAGACAATGAAAAACGCAACACACACTAACACATGCTCACATATTTACGAGCACTTGCAGAGCATGCACACTCATACATATAAATGATGATTCACAGCAATATAAAATACTATTTTTAAATAGGAATATTTAAGTCTTTGCTGTACCATCCCTGACCTGATATGTCCATGACCAGGGTGCAGGGGTGAGTTGCAGCCTTTCACTCACTGGAGGTCAGGAGAGACAAGTTAAAAATTTACGAGAAAATTATGTTTAATGTTCCATTTATGGCTGAACCAGTCGAGGTTACTGTACTTTCGGAATCAATAGCATACACTGCTTGAACATAACCAAGGACATACCATAACGAGAATGCACAGTAAAAATACTGTTGTTTTTTGTTTGTTTTCTACAGAGGAACTGACCTGAGAAAAGCAACTGGATAAACGTAAAAATGTTGGTCATCATTTGTGGTAATAAATAAATGTATTTGACGCTTTTGTGAAAAATACATGCTACATTTTAAGTAATTTTTGGTCTTACCTGAGAAATTGATTCTAAGAGTTACTCCTCACCATTCAAAGGGTGTAATGATCTTCTAAAATGGATGGCTAATAAAGATGACTTGCATGTAATCCAATAACTTACACATCACATCTGTGCAAGACTGTTCCAACTTTTTCTTCTCCTGTGTCTCTCTTTGAGCACAAAGCCTCTACAGAAAGGAAGGTGGCACTTTCCTCTTTTAAAGGAAATTCCTGATAAGTTCCTTCCTCTGCACTGCAACAACAAGCAACCAGGAACACCAGGATCACATCCTGTGATTGAGGCAGAACACTGCTTTCACAAAGCCTCCCTATAAACCATGTTTCTGGAACACTTGTGTTAATACACTTTAATGTGACCAAGCTATCTAACTGCCACCTGATAAAACATTATTAATTAAACTAGCTGATATCTGTGTTTGCAAATACAATCATGTATAATGTTAAATAAAGACTAATCAATAATAATCAAATGTTTTAAAACTGCATGTGATTATGCAGCTTTTGTTTGAATCCCTGTGTTTGAGATAAAATATAGTGCAGTCAATTCATCCCAAAAAGTTTTTTTAAGACTATATTAGTCCTTGTAATAGCAGTGCTGTAATATAATTCAACCACTGGGTGGCATATCTAGCATTTTCACAGTTCACAGTTATAAAGTGCAAGGGTCAGACATTTCAAGAGGCCTTAAAAGATTTTTGTTTTGCCCAAAATGTTATATATTAAACTATTATATACATTCCCACATTAGCCAAATTTAAATTATATGATGATGAAGTAAACACTTCATTTTTTATTATTCAACCTTCAAAAATGTCAGTAAGTAAATTAAGTGAAGTCAGTAAATGATTTATGTCTGTTAATAAAGTGATATTTTTTATTATATGCAGAATCATATCGTATTAACACAACTACCTATTGTTAATTACGTCACATAACTATTATGTAGTTGTTATTTATGGTTAGTGTGTCAACCTCTTGCAGTTGTGTGAATAATGATTCTATAAGTCACAAATGTGGAAGTAAAATGTTGTTATATCAAAGTAAAATCTGTTAGGGAAGATGGCTAATTGTGTCTATGTCCATGTCCTTAAAGCAGCTATAACTGATATTTTGATAACAATGTATCAGATGTATGAAATGGGCCGCTCATAGGTTCCGAACCAATCTATGTTTGGTCGAATGGTCGAAATGGTGCAAACGGTTTTAAACTAGGTGTTTAAACTGGAACAGAGCCGGTTCCCTGTTGGTGGGAAAGCAGGCAGTAGTTTTCATTGAGAAGACCGTAAACCTGTACACTATCTGCTCAACACTATACAGCAACACGGTGGGGCATTTAGTAGCTAAAGAGTAAGTTATTTCCAAGTTGGGAGAGACTTAAATATCTCTTTTTTATTCATGAATAAAGAGCATATGCACAGAGATGCTTTTTGGCATCTAGTCTTTGACCTTTGTCACCAAGCTTAGATAGATTTAGGATTTTGATTGGATTTCATATTCCTGATATGCAGGTAAACACCTCGTTCACATAGGCCACCCAAGCAGCATGTGGTGTCTCCAGTGCAAGATTTGATGCCAGATAACAAATAGTTATAAGCTACACTGGCAATGAGCATGCCAGATAAAAACTGTTGCATAAACTGAAGAACATGCCTACGCAAGACATTTAAATTGTTCTATGTACATGGTTTATTCCTAATTTGCCTACCTATTTTGCTACAATTAATTTTATGCTTAACTCTAGACCAGCCTCCCTAGTTTTACAGCCTAGCCCCAAATTGTGTATTTCTTTTGCTGACTTAGTTTTGATTTATGTATGAATTATACAATTTACTCCCTTTCCTAACTTATGTGTTCTAAATAAAATCTATATTTTAGTACAGCAGTCTCTGGTTCAAAACAAAAACAATGTTACTTAAAAAGACCTTTGCTCTTGTAACACAGAAAGTGTCTTACCGGTGCTCTCTATGGCTCTGCGCTGTTTCCACTAGCTAGCGGTCCTATTAGCTGACTCAAGCTCGAAGTACCGGACGTTAGCACTAGTGCCATTGTCAGGCGAGCGGGCAACAGAGCTGGCCTTAGCAGGGGTATGACGATATCTGGGACCAGACACAGCCTCCGACAATGGAGGACAGGGGATTTACCGCTGGCTTATTAACAGCCGGATTATTTACAGTGGCACCAACAAGGACTATGACTCCAGGATGACAAAGACACAGCAGGTTCAGGCAGGGGTTGGAGAGGTATTAAGAAGGGATAGGATCAACTTTGTCTGGAGCTGATTTGTAAGTAACGTTTTACATCATCCATTGTGTTGAAGTCCACAATTATTTGTTTTTGGGAAGTTGGAAGTTATTTATTCCATGTTTTGAAGAATGAGACTCACACAACACAATTTCTGATACTGGATAACAGACAAAATCATAGTGACAATTGTGTGTGCACAATTTAATCTGCTTTAGTTTGCTTCAAGAATTTATATTATGTCATTAGCCCAAATGGAGGTCCTGAGGTCGGCACTGTAATGCAGAAGTCTCTATGAACTAGACTGGGAATTCTGAGAGGCAATGGAAAACACCTGAGTCTTTCCATCTTCCATGATATCTGTGTCAATAAAGGCTACCAGGAGGTCAGCAAAGCAGTTACCCCTTCGCACTACATGATGACCTTGGCTTTGATTCCTCCCATGGCAAAGTCATCCAGTTCAACTCACTGAGTGATGCTCCAACAGTTACTTAACGATATAATATGTGACATCTCTGCATTAAAATGTATATAAACACTGTACCCATGTCATATATTTTACTTAGTTGTGTACTAACATTATTCCAAACATTTTCCAACAATGTTTAAACCCAAAAAAATCAGTTATTTTATTTAGGTAACAGTGCGTTTCACCAGTTGCTTATCAATGGCGTAATATCCTCCTCTGTGCATGTGTCACCGTTGTGGTTGTCTGCCAGAAGCTGATCTTGATCATTTTTTATATTTAAAGTGGATGAAAGTCATCGGACGTCTGGATCTTAAGCTAAACAAGCTGAGATACTGGCTCCGCTGACATTTTTAAGATTAAACTATTTTGGTGTTTTTACCGGTTTTAATCACAGAGTCCGATCTCCAGAACTTCTCAATCTTAAGTTATTATAGAAACAAGTTAAACTATCATTAGAAGCAGGCCCACCAGGATGTTGTTTTTCCGCCAAACAGCGAGAGAGAAACACTGACTTTTAAGGTTAAACGGCTGTATTAACTTTTTTAACACTGAAGGAATCCTAGTTGGGAGAAGCTGACTGCCATTATGATAAAGACAACAACTCTCATGATCCCACGTAACTTCACAAAGTCATTATACTTTGTCTTTTGTTATTCTTTTGCTGTGACCCTCTAGCGGCAGAAATTACATATTTTACATATAATTGTTGAGCAGCATATACATTTTAGGGCTCAGGAATAACATCTGTTACACCTCCACCTTGGTCTTTTTGTCCTTGCTCTATTCTGATTAATTCAGTTGTAATTTTGGGGGTTCCTTGGTCTTTACTTATATCTTCAACATACAGTCCTCTTCCTTGTTAATTTCTTTCATCTATGATATGGTCACTTTAAGCATCTGTATATTTGATATCTCTACAGTATGACATCTGATTCCTGTAGTTAAGAAAAGTCAATAGTTATGCCCTCTGAGTCTGATGCCTCAGTTTGGTTGGACTCCTGTGCAACATTTCAGTATAGTTGTCATTGTGAGCATAGTGTAGAGGTACAATCTCAATATTTTACATAGTTTTTCTCATACAGGTCTTCAACTGTGCAGTCAATAGTCAATTTCATTTTGTGAAATGCCATGGATGCCACGAATATGATCCTCTAGCTTCAGCGACTTCAATCGACCTATGGGTGCTCTGATTGGGGTTTTTTAAACTGATCATTAGAAGAAGTATTATCTGTTACGGATCACTGGATCTATTTATAACCTACACCTCTGTCTCACACACACTGGCTCACCCCACCCTGTCTCTTTGTGCTCATCTCTCCATATACAGGTTGTATGTCTCTGCTCAGTTACTTTGTTGGTCAGCATTAAGTTTTATAAAGTCGCCCAAGAAACACAACTCACGTTTTGAATGTTTTTACTAGCATTTCCAATTTCACAACAGCAGGTGATCAAAAAGAACAGTGTTGTTTTACCTGCTCTGTGCTTGTTAAACATCCACCAGATAACGTCTCTCTCTCCGTTTCTCTGCAAAATACTAAAACAAATCCCTGAATCTGTGACTGAATAACCTTCCTGTGGAGTGAAATAAATGCATCAGCAGATCAGCTCGTCTGATCAGCATTTATAGAGATCAAACTATTTAGAGTTTTACCCATTTTAAGTTCTACAAGAAATTAGTCTATGCTGTGTGGCTCATTTTTTTCCTTTCTGTGAACAACAAAATGGGCAAGACACTTATAGCAACAACAGCTTAAGGCACTTACCACATCTAATTTATAAAACATGAATGAAATTTCCCATGGACTGGGCATGCTTTAATACTGCAGCAAAATGTATCAGGGTTCGTTGAGCCACAGAATCAATGCAAATATGAATTGATTTGTTGAGGTTTGCATGCGCTTTAGTAAATGTGAAATGTTTATGACATTGTTCATCAATAATTACAATATACACATCTACCTGATTGTTTATGGCTATAGACTGCAACTTTTTATCATGTAATTTATTGTGAATGTTGTTGAACCCCATGATAAGGTACTGAGCAAAACTGCAAGTCGAGAAAACATACATAAATCCAAGTAATATTCATATAAGACCAAAATTAGGCTACTTTTCGTTCAACAGGACCTTCTGGTAGATTGCAGGTATGACCACGTTGCCATGTGTCATAATAGCTTATGATCTTACATCTATGTATGTTTATTGTATATGTCATATGTATGCCCAAAGGTATAAGCAGTTAAGCATTGTAGGACATTCTTAATTGTATAGATAATTTCAACATTTTCCATATGATCTTTTTTTTAGCAAGTTGTTTTCTCTCTCCTCATTTCATATGTGGCCTGAAGGCAAAATGTAAAACAATTTATTGATTTAGCTTCAAGCTGTAACTGTAACAGCTTCAAGCTAACAGGTTTTCAGAAAAGAAGCTTCCACAGACAGAAAAGAAAAAATCACAACAAATTAGTGACATATGAAATAACATAAAGGAATCACAAAGTTGTCTAAACAGAATCTAAGGCTATTAGGCTAGTTTCTACTGACTTCAACATTAGGGTCTGGAAAGTCATGTACTGTATTCTTTCACTGTAAATTACTTGATTGGCTCATTCTCATTCAGTAGGTTCCACTAGGTGAACTATCTGGTGAATCAGTAGCTTAGTTTGGAGAGTGGATCGCCACGGAGAGTGAGTGCCTACCCTAGTGAGGAAGAGATAACAGCTGAAAACTGCTTTTTAATAGATTTTATACAGCTCCAAGCTCCTTATAAGTGGAGTGATACAGTTTTGTGTATGAACTGTTCTCTGGATTTAATGTATCCATGTATCCAGTGTATCTGCATCAGTCGGTCAAACAGTGTATGATCAGCGATGAGTCAAATGATAATTCAAGTTGGATTCTGTATGATTCCTAATGAGTGTATCCTAATCAAAAACAAGTAATAATAGCTTGAATAAAAATGTAATGTGCAACAAAATACAGATGAACCCATTCAAGTATATTCCATATCATGTCACATGATTAAGGCACTCACAAATACTGACGTAAGAAGCCTAATAAATTCTATAAATGTTTTTATTTAGTTTATTCTGCAGAATGCACACAAAAGAATAGACCATGAATCATGCTTTATCTCCATTAAATTTCTATTAACACAGATTTTGTTTGCAAACAAATGAAATGATCAAAAAGTGACTGTTTGTTGTGATTTTTTTGTTTATGTAATCATAAGGTGTGTGTACAAACAGAGTGACAGCAAATGAAAAATACAGAGGATCATAAAACAGGTAAGTATGAAAATGATACAGGATTAGGAGGCAAAACATGTTTAAAACAAATGAAGGAGATGCATATTTTTGGTAAATTGCCCAGAATTTGAGTGTCAGTAAAAAAAATTAACAAAAAAGTACTGACAGCTGTTTAGAGAGCTGATAGTTTCGAAACAGTGATTGCAATTATGGTATATACAACACCACCACAAAATCTTGCACTGATTATAAAATATCAAAGCTTGAAAATAAAATAATGTCATATATAAACTGTTAACTGTTTACGTTTGTGTGTATAAACAACATTTTCCTTCAACATAACTATTGTAACTATCTGTTCTGTGCAATAGACCCCTGGATACAAATATACCACACCCATTCATTAACAACATTCATTTAATAGAATGAGATAGGACACATTGACAAACCCTCTAATAAACTATTGGTGAAAATTTGGTGAGGTTGCATATGTTCAATAAATCTGGACTATATACAAAAACAATATTTATTATTACAATACAAATTAATCTTATTTACAGTTTGAATGGATTTTAAACATTCTCATGCACTCCTGTCTAATTACTGCAAAACTGAAGAACTACTCGTACTTGAACATTGAGATGAGATGTGTACGTCCCTTAGGTTTTAAAGAACGTTTGAAGATTTTGCCTTATTAGTAGAGGGTATTTGGGTGTACATGAGAGAGTTTAATTTGTCTCATAATTAATCATTTTTTCGGGGAAACAGATAGTTCAAGTCTTGGGAACCTGAAACCACTTCTTGAACCACTGTCACTGCTGGAAGATGAAGACAATCTTGATTTTTTAGAGTGTACAGAAACACCTGCCGCACTTCCCTCCACTCCTGCTTCACTGTCTTCACCAAGTGTCACTTCATATGAGCCCTTTGACTTTGAACCAAAACCTCCGAAGGTACCAAACTTTAACTTGCCTTTCTTTCCCTTGGCCTTGCTTCCTCCTAGGTCTAATGAAATGTCACCACCCTCAGCTTCCAAGTGAGTGGAAGGAGAACTAACTGCAAGCCCCCCCTCATCACTCAGAGAGGAGGACCGATGCCTTGATTTCTTAAATAGATCCAGTGAGGCTGACTTGCCTTTTGTTGACACACTGAGTCCAGAGTCACCTTCTAATTCTAATTTCCCACCCATCTGTTTCCCAGTATGTACACTTAGGTCTTTTCCACTTGCGCTCAGTTCTACCTCTGACCCCTGAAGATCACCTACACTGCCCTTTGGTTTTGATTTGCCAAACAATTTTGGCATCTTTACTTTTACTTTGCCTTCACTGTGCCTCAGTTCTGGACTGGGAACCTCAATGTTTTGTGAACTGACTTGGCAACTAACAGATGGAGACTGCATGTTTATGCCTCCACTAGCTGCAAGGTCTGATTCAACATTTCCTCCACCTTGCTGTCCCTCCAACAGAGGCAGAGCAATACCAAATTTTGGGACCTTCAGTTTGGGAAATGTTAAAGTACCCTCTGGGTAATGAAGGCCACCACTTACACTGCCTGCTGAAACACTTGCATCAATCTCTGCACCACCTTTCACATTTACTTTCTGGCCTTTAAAACCTGCAGACATGGTTGCCTCTCCTTGTCTGTTTAGATTTGCATCAATATCAGGAGCAGACAGGTTCACATTTGGCATTTTAATATTAGGAGTCTTTAATTTCACATCTGGCCCTTCCAAGCTAACATTTGGCCTGTCAATAGTGCTCTTTAAGCTACCAGATGACAAATCTAGATCAGGTGATTTTAATCCCTCTGATAAAGATCCATCACCTTTCAGTTTTGGTGATTTGATATCCAGCTCCACATCAGGAAAATGAAGCTTACCAAAAAGATGCTTCTTTGCCTTTGTTCCTTTGATATGGATATTGGGTGTGTCTACATCCAAGTTCACTGCTGGTGTTTCGAAGTCAGCATCAGGTTTCTTTGCCTTTCCTTTCACTTTAGGAAGTTTAAATTTACCCTTTTTGCCCTTTACATGTATATCAATATCAGGGGCATCAAGGCTTGCTTCAGTATCTGGGAGACTAACTTCTGATTTAGAACCCTTTGCTCCCACACTGAACTTGGGTGCTTTAAACGTGGAATCAGGACCCTCCACTTCAGGGGATTTCATTCCAAACTTAGGACCTCTGAACTTGGGAAATGTAACACCTGTCTTTACAGGATCAATGGACACACCTTCCATAGTGATGGTGGGTGCTGCAATGTTAGCATTTGCACCTTTGATGTCTCCTTCTAATTTGGGCATTGATGCACTCATCTTTCCTTTGACTTTAGGCCCTTTTACACCGATATCTAGATCAGGTGCTTTTACATCAATGTTTGCTTTGGGAAGGTTTATATCAACATCTGGTCCTTCCACTTTTGGACCTTTGAAGCCAAAGGATGGCACTTTGATTTTAGGCATGTCGAATCCACCTTTTGGACCTTCAATATCAATTTCTGGACATTTGATGTCAACATCAGGTGCTTTCACATCAATGTTTGCTTTGGGCAAGTTTAAATCAACGTCAGGACCCCTTATGTTTGGACCTTTGATGTTCAATGATGGTATTTTGATATTGGGCATGTCAAATCCACCTTTTGGCCCTTCAATATCAACCTGGGGACTTCTGATGTCAATTTCAGGTGCTTTTAAATCTCCCTCTATTTTAGGAGCAGACAAATCCATGTCACCTTTAAGTTTAGGACCTTTCAGGTTGAAATCAACGTCTGGCATGGAAATGTTTGGTCCTGAGATAGTTGGCATCTTGAATTTTGGTCCCTTGATCTTACCACTCGGACTCTCAATGTCAATGCCTGGTCCTTTGATGTCTAACTCAGGGCCTTTAATATCAATGTCGCCTTTAGGAAGGCTGACATCAACTTCTGGCCCTTCAACATTTGGACCTTTCATCCCAAAGGATGGCATTTTCATCTTAGGCATTTTAAATCCTCCTTTGGGACCCTCAATGTCAACATCTGGTCCTTCAATATCGACCTTGGGAGCTTTTATGTCTCCCTCAATCTTTGGAACTGATACATCCACATCTCCCTTTACTTTGGGCCCTTTCAGACTCATATCCCAATCTGGCAGTGTAGGTCCTGATAAGGATGGCAGCTTAAATTTGGGTCCTTTGAGTTTTGCGTCAGGACCTTCAACATCAAATTCTGGCCCTTTGATGTCAATATTAGGTGCTTTAACATCTATGTCGGCTTTG